TTTGCAATTTGTCTACATTTCTATTTGGTTGGTGAGAAAACCAAATGAAATATGCACATATATATATATATATATATATGATAAGAGAACAGAGAGAGGGAGAGAGAGAGAGAGAAGAGGGTAAACAAGTAAATCACTCCCTTAATACCAAAGGACTAATTTTTAATACCAAGTGTTGGGGCAGACTAACAATCCCAATGTGCAAGGCCATCTGAAGCCCTCTGGCTTATGAATCCATTCCCCAAATCTACAAACAAATAGGAGGCATGTTCACTGCTCATCATTCACAATCCACTCCAGACTGTGAAAGAGGAAATAAACGGGGCCTAAGGGTACAACTTATCTCCCTTATAAAATTGTGTTGTTTGGGTTTGCAGGGCACACCATAAGTCACATTTTGAAAATTTAAACTGTTCAATTTTTGAACCACACTAGATAGATTATCGATTAAAAGAAAATTCGATCCAATAATTGTAATCATGTTAAGTTATTACATTTATTTTTCAAATAATATTTATCGTTCATTAAAATCAATGTATATGAAGTGTTTAAAATACATTTTTTTGTTGAATTTAAAGATTAAAATACTATTTTTCATTATTTTTACCTAATAGAAATGGAGAAATAATTTAGAGTGAAAATAAATAAAAAAAATTAATATTTAAATTAATAAAATTAAAAATGTGGAATTTATTTTGTTTTAAAATTATTTTTTCAAAAAAAAATATTTTCTGTAATTTCTCATAAAATAAAAGAATTTATTTCTCACAATTTATTATTATTATTATTATTATTATTATTATTTTATTTAATTTCTTAACCAAACCTAATATTATTATAGAGATTTTTATCATTTTCTCACCAACTTTAACCCCATCCAAACAAACAGGGAGTCACTTCCCCCGTTGCTTCCCTCGAGCAGCTCTCTGCCTCGTTCCCCACCGCCTCCACTTTTAGAAGCCAAGCATTCATTCAGTGGTCTCAGGTCTCTTCTTCTCTCTGTTAATGGTTTAGGGTTATTTGATTTTGTTTCTGCTGTTTAGGGTTTATGTGTATTAACCCAGTAGGTGAGCACCAGCCGTTCATGATTCAGTTGGTTTTCATGGATGCAATTATTAGTATACACATTGATCATTGGTTGATATATGTTTTGTTTTGCTGAATTTTTGGAACAACCCCTCATTCTGGGGATAGTTTTGCCTTGACTTTAATTCAGTTTTGCTGAGTTTTTGGGGGGATCATTTCAATTGAAAGGCACTGAAATTTCTGATTCTTTGCTTTTCTGTTTGGGGGGTATGAAAGTAAAGTTGTAGGGTCATGTGTGTTTGGGGCCAAGCTGTGCTTTGTTTGCCCGTTTTGCCACCTAAACCAGTTTTTCTAGTGAAATTCAATGCTTAGCTGCCTTGGTATTTAGTTCAAAAGGCAAGTAAATAGTTATGCACAATTGTGTATGTGAAATAAGAGTAGTGATATACAAATCGAAAATCTATGCTGAAAAGTTATACTGAATGATTTGGCTGGGATTTGAGCTATCGTCTCAAAAGAAAGAACTCATGGAGATGTCTTTAATTACCCAAAATAACACTGCCACGTCATTATGGTTACAAAATTCTGTATACAAATTCTGGTGGAATAGCATTTTCCGTGGAATAAACCTGTTCATTTTACTTTTTAATATTAGATATGAGTTTTGATTTCCGTTGCATTTGTAATTAACACATTCATATATTTGTGGGATCATTTTTGTTATCATAAATTTTATCCCTTGCGTGTTTTGTAATTTCTTGATTGTAATGTAATAGAAGTGTATTGCTTTTATGTAGCATTTTTAACACCTCATTTCCTTCACCTATGATAATATTATAGTGGTTCTCATAATTACGATGACAAACAAAAAATAAGTCATGGAGCTCAAAAAATGGATTGGAATACAATAGGAAAGAAGCGAGTTTAAGAGTTAGAGTTTTGGAATTTTTACCCATGCAGTTGCTGAAAACTCATTTGTTTATTCCTTATTTTGTTTGAATTTATACTCTCTCTCTCTCTCTCTCTATATATATATATATATAACTTTGTAGTCTTCATTTATTCTTGCTTTGTGTTGTTATACAGAAATGGCGCTACAACATACGATTGGGTTCGGACATTTTTTTCTCTTATCTGCCGAAAGAGAAAAATTTTAAAGATTCCCCTTATTCTTCCATTGCTGCTACCACTACTAATCAGTTTAAGGAAAAGGGGTGGAAAACTGGTGTGCTTTCCTCAAGGATGGACAATTCTACCCCATCACCAAACTTTCCGAAGTCACCTTCCCGAGTGCGCCCCTTTCTGTTATAATATTAATTGCTATAAAGATTATTTTAGCTTGCATATTCCTGACGTATATTTCCTGTGAATTTGATTATGAAAGGCAGGCTGGTGGTTTCACATTAAACAAATTAATTGCTTCTAGAATAGCTGAAAGACTCAAGCCTGATGATGATGGGGGGAAAAAGGATGGAGAAGCACCTAGTGGGAGTGACGGGGAGGATGATGATCCCTTACTTATGGATGAGGAGCAGAGGCAAGAATGGAGCAGGAAGATTAGAGAAGTGATTGATATGAATCCGGATGTCGAAGAGGAAGTAGACCCTGTCAAGAGGAGGAAGAAGATGCAGAAGCTTTTGGCTGATTATCCACTTGTTGTGGAGGAGGATGATCCTGATTGGCCCAAAGATTCTGATGGGTGGGGTTTCAGCTTGGGTCAATTCTTCGACAAGATTACTATAAAAAATGTCAAGAAGGATGATGATGATGAGAATTATGATGGCGAAAATGAATTGGTGTGGCAAGATGACAATTACTTTTGTCCAATCAAAGACATCACCACCAGAGAATGAGAAGAGACTGTGTTCAAGGACTTCAGTCCTTTGATTGTCTTTGTGCATAATCGATATAGAAGGTTAGTTTTCAGTGTTTTTTTTTTTTTTTTTTTCCAGGTTGCTCCATTTCCCTCTAATTTCTCATTCCAGTTGCTTTTTTTTTTTTTTTTTCCCTGAACATCTTGGTTCTGAATTCTGACTGGATAAACATTCATCAGCCATTTGATATAAAGTACTAGTTGTCTTAGCAGTCTTGGGCAACGTTGCTTCATGTTCTTTTTGTTTCCTGGCATGGTTTGTAATTCTCATTTCCATTTGATGCCTGTGCATTGATGGATCTGATTCTCATTTTCCAGATTGGAAGTGATGTGATCTTCTGAAGTTCTATTGGTTCTGCAATGCTATGATCTTCTTCTTTTGGTGCCTTGTACTGTATCTAATTACAAATTCGTGGAGTTTCTCCTGTTAGTCTTGGTGAACCCGTGACTTTTCTATATATTCCTTGGTAACAGCTGTCCTTCTTGTGTACCAATTTTCAATTTATGTGATTGATGGCTATCTGGTTTACACATTGAATCTGTGTTCAATCTTCTCATTCTACTTATAGAAGTTCACTTCCAATGGGTCAATGCACATGGATTAATTTGTCTTCTGACCTTTCACACTTTTCTATATTGCTACTTTCGACTACTCAAGTTGAGTGTTCTTTCACAATTTCTTGTATGCTTACAGGAATCACTGTCTAATAAGGGAAAGAAAAATTCTGTTTGTTATTTGATTTCTAAAGGCTTGGGTCAATTAATTGGCGATGTTTATTGATGTTGATTTTCCATGGTGCATTGGAAGCTATCAGAATATTTTTAATGAGATGTCAAACTTTCATGATTGATTTTATAGCAAAGAATGCTAGATTTATTATCGAGTATATTTTTATTATTTAATGAAAACTTATGAATCTCTGCAGACCACTGGAAAATGAAAGGATGCGGGATGAATTGGAGAAAGCTGTAAATATCATATGGAACTGTCGGCTACCATCACCAAGAGTAAGTAAAGCCATTTACTTATTTTTTATTCTCGTCATCCCACCTTTTAACATTTATTTTATTTTCAACTACCAAACAGTGTGTTGCAATAGATGCTGTTGTTGAGCTTGATTTGGTCTCTGCTCTACAAGTGTCCATCTTCCCAGAGCTTATCTTCACTAAAGCTGGAAAGATCTTATACTGTGAGGAAGGTAAATTTTCTAGTAAATAAATTATATTCTTGACACAGCCTCAGCCTTGAATCATAATAATTGTATTATATTTGATTTTTTTCTTGGTATTCAGCAATTCAAACAGCAGATGAGTTGTCAAAAATAATGGCATTCTTTTATTACGGAGCAGCCAAACTGCCTAGCTTGAATACCGTTGGAAAGAGTGAAGAACCAGTCCCTACCATTTGAATCAACAGCGAATAGTGTCAGAATAAAAGTTGTACATAACTATATATATATGTATGCTATGGTTTAGAGAATGAGTTTCTGGGTTAGCGATGCTGTGTTTACCATGTTGTTCCCCATACAGATCAATGGACACCATGAAAATTTAGCTCATATGTACATTCTAGGGGAGATTTATAACTACATTTAGCAATTGTTTGTTAATTTCAGTGTGAAAACTGAAAATTTTGTTATTTATGAACAAGATGAATATGGAGTTTCTTTTTTTTTTCTCTCAAATAGTTTGTGTCCTGTTCTTTAATCCTTGATTTTGGTACCAATATAAATACTAGCTTGTTGCATTCATTACACAACCAATTGGTGTATGGAGAGGGCTCACATGAAAGGAAATTTCTCAGGGCCTGTATATTCCTTGATTTTAGACATTTTCAATATGCTTTGCAGAGTTTCTAGTTCCCTTTGAGAGACACGGGCGCTTATGAGTTCATGCCAATTTAGGCATTTATAGCTTTGAAAATCCCAGAGGGGATTCGTATTTTAGCTACCAACTTGGCATTGGAACATTGGTGGTCGCCCCCCAATGAACACTTCATCAAGTGTGACCTGTGCATATGTGTTCCACGTGTACACAGTGACAATTAATTTGTAGAGTTTATGCAAGCTATAATCCACACAACTCATGACACAAGTAAAAAGACTTCAAAATTAACATTCTCACAAATAATTATGCGTAGAAATTGAATTTTAAATCATCTCAAACAATAAAAGGCACAAAAACCGGTCATATGGCATGCTAGAGCCCCCAATATCCACCGCGACGAACATTATGACACACTGACAAATATGGTCTACATTTAATCTTTTATTTTACAGAAAAGAAACTAACATAGCAGAGTTGGATAACAGAACAATTGACTTGATCCACCTCCTATTAGATAATCTCATACCCATGAACAACCCAAAACCTTCCCACCAACAAAGCATCTGATGCCACAGCCACTTCAATACTAGCAGCAGCCATCGTGACCCAAAGAGCATGGCAGCACCTGCTATTACAAAAGCAATAATATTACCTCCAATGACACAGAAAAACAAAAGAAAACAAAAACCTATAAAGATGAAATGTACCATCTCTGAATCACGGAGGACTCAATGAGCTCTCAAGTTCCTAGGTGAGGGTGCTCGAAACACTGTCATAGGTAACCACAAATTCATACCATCAGCAGTATAGAAAGTAAACTTTAGACATTTATGGCCATTTTGAAGCAAAACCAACCCAAATAGACCATCTTAGATAGGTCAGGTTAAAAATAAATAAATGCTTTATGTTCTTCAAACATAATCAGGTTCAAAAAAAACAAATGATTTGCCTTCTTCAAATAATTTGTTACATTAATTTGTCCTACTTGTATATGAGCTAGCTGAAGGTTAGATATGCTGACCACCATTTCGTAACGATTGTTCTCACAAATTATGTATGTATGCATCATTGATGAAACATAGGTAAGACCATGAGAGCTATAAAAAGCTAAAGAAGCAGTCGATCATATTGATGGAAAGGAGCTTGGAAGAAGAACATTTAGCTCAGATTTTGCTATTGTAAGGCCAGGTTTAGAACTGAATAAACCAACCATTAGATGAATTCTTTCAATTCAAGTAGTTCAGATACACTTGAATGTGAAAATTTTCTTTGGGCAAGCTTTCTTTAAAAAACACAAAAAACAATTCAAAGAAAATATGTAACTATTTTTAACCAATAATTGTGATTGACAGTGAAAATTGAAGTTCAAATTATGAATCATGCAAAACATGTCAAGCCTGATCAATTTTATGACAAATGTTTGTCATGAGATGTACTATTCATCACACAAGTCCTGGTGCATGATTACACCTAATGTCTTAGGATAGGTTTATTTTGCCATAAAATATCATGGTTAATACTATTTGACGTATATATCAAGTCTCATTTTTCATACATATTTTTGTTCTCTTTCTCTCTCTACATACATATATGTATATATATACCTATATATATATATATATATTATGGTTGAGCAATTGATCAAAATTAAGGTTCAAAGTTAAGGTTTGGGGTTATTATTTTTGTTATATTCAATCCTTGTCTTCTTTTATTCTTGAATAAGGATAAAAGACAATTTAGTCCCTAAAATATGTGATGTTGTTTTATTATAATCTCTTAAGTTTCAATTTTGTCATTTTGGTCCTTAAAATTGTCAATTTGAGTCAATTTAGTCATAGGTGTAACGTCCATCTACATTGATAACAGGAACATGAATAAAATATAGTTTTGGTCCCTAAAATATTCGTTTATTGTCATTCTAGTCCCTCAAGTTTTAAATTTTGTTATTTTAGTTATCAAAGTTGTCAATTTGGTTATAGCTTAAATTAACAACTTTGAGAATCAAAATGACAAAATTTAAAACTTGAGAGACTAATATGACAAGAAATGGATACTTTAGGGACCAAAGTTATCTTTTACCAAAAGATAAAATATTTTTCCCGTTATCAATGTAAACAAACGTTAGAGATAGAACTAAATTGACTCAAATTGACAACTTTGAAGACCAAAATGAAAAATTGAAGGTTGACAGACTAAAACTGTCTTTTATCCCTTGAATAATGATATACAAACATAATTTGTATACAAAAAATCTATATATAATGGTATGTTACATTTATATCCACTCATTAAAAACAAAATTTTCATTATTGTAAGAGTATTGTTGTCACATCATTTATGTTTAATCTTAAACAAAAATTATATATATGAATATTATCTTTTTGTATTTTTTTCTTTTTAAAGTTTACTCTATAATTAATTCTTTATTAATATTTTTGTTGGAGAAAATATTTTAGTGATAACCAAACATCCAAATATAAAAATAAAAATAAAAATAAAAATTTCTTTTTGGACAAAATTACCTTACATGAAAAATATTTTATAACAGAACAAACAGAGCCTTATTGTTGAAATCTCAATCAATTTGGGATTAATTTGTTTAACAACTTCTACAAATTGCAAAAAATATACAAATTCAAATTTAAATACTGAACAAATTAAGGTGAATGTTAATTTATTATTTGGTGAATTTTTTTTTTTTTATAAATGGGTTACCCCTTGGCTATTTATTTAATATTATATGGTGTGTTACAGTTGTAAACCAACTAGTAATACAATGAGCAAAAGAAGAATCATATACCTCAATAGTGATTTCGGGTATGTGCGCAATCTTATACCAATCCTCCCCCTTTCCCTTCTCACATCGCCTTTCCAGTTCACAGCAGTCGATAATGTGCAACGATTGGAGAGATTCAAGGCCTCGTAGCCCTTCCTCTGGCAAAGACTCGAGCTTTGGACAGTATTTGATCTTCAATGACTTCAATGTGACACGGCTTGCAAGGTCTCCAGGCAACACTTTAAGCTCAGGACAATAGTTAATCAGTAGTGACTCAAGAAGAGTAAGGTTCCTCAGAAACTCTTTTGGAAAATAAACCATCTCGCAATCATGACTAATAGTGAGGGAAGTGAGACTATTAAGATTTGATATTGAATTTAGTCCCATGGTGCACTTGCCAAGCAACAACAATTCTTTGGGAGCCGAAAGATGCGGGAAGCTCAATTTAGGACAAGCACCAATAAATATCTTACGAAGACGAGGGAACAACTCTCTTCCCTCCTTCCTTGACAAACCTTCCAATTTCGGACAATTGCTAACTGTGAGTTCTTCCAAAGATGGGAATCCTCCACCGCCAGGATATTCGTTTTCAATACACTCCACTACTTCTTCCATTGCATCAATTTGAAGGCTTTGTAGCAAAGGTAGTTGTCCAAGCGGTGGAAGTTGCAAGCAGTTGTTGCACCCGAAGAGCTGGATCTTAACTACATTTTGAAGATCTGAACCCCTCATCCAGAGCGGGAATTGAGTACCTTTGTACCTGCTTACGATCAACTCCTTTAGGTTTGGATGAGGTTGAAGGGCTTCAAGTACTAGCTCAGATTTAACATTTTCCTGTGCTTCAGATTCAACATTTTCCGGTGATTCACATTCAGCCAAATCTTTTGCCCAATTTAGATGCAACTTACTAAGATTTTGCATTCCCACTAAATTGGCTTCTTTTGCATCCATCGGATTTCTCACTCTCTCAAGGTAGCAGATACGAAGTTCTCCTTGAAGGTTTAAGCATTTCAATTCAGCTAGGGGACTACAATCAGTGCTCTTACCCACAACAAATTTATTTAATGTCTTCAGGTTAGTTAGCTGCCCAATTTTTGGGGGCATCTCAATTAACGAACACCCTGACAGAAAAAGATGTCGGAGACTTCTCAGGTACATCATGTTCTGGGGCAATCTCTCAAGTACGACACAGTTTTCTAGAATTAATGTTTGCAAATTCAAGAGATTACAAATTGAATCAGGAAGTTGCTTGAAATCAGAATAGGAAAGGTTCAAATACCTCAGATGTTTTGAGTTGCCAATTGAAGGTGGCAACTCTTGCACTGTGCCACATGCATCAAAAGCTCGCAGTGAACCAAACTTTCTGAAACCACCCAAAAATAATTTATGTACTAAGTAGTAATTTGAACGTAGTTGTAATGTCCGTAAGGATACAACTTTGTGAAATGTGTTATTCAAATTTTCCTTACGCCCCCCCGTAACCAATGTTACATGATGAGCTTTTCCGTTGTATATATTACTTGAACTGTCAAACACGATCATTTGACATTCACCCTCCATAATTGATTGGGCAAGATCGTGCACAAGATCATGCATCTTGAAACGTTTATCACTTCCGTAGTCCGTCACCTCTTGGAAAAAAGATATCAAACATAATTCATTCCAAATCTGATCACCAATATCTTCCGGTTCCCATCCTCCTTTGCATGAAATATAGCCATTAGCCATCCAAAGATGAATTAGGTCTCTCTTTCGAATTTGAGAGCCCTTTGGGAAAATGGCACAATAAGCAAAACATTGTCTTGATTCCAATGGAAGATAAAAGTAACTTAATCTTAAGGCAGGCAAGATGGAATTTTCCTGGGTTAATGTCCAAATTTCACTTTCCTTAACATGAAGCCACTCTTTTTCCTCACTTTTGAAGCGCATTAGCCCACCGAGGGCCTTCGCAGCTAACGGCACACCCCCGCACTTCTTCACTATCTCCTTCCCAATGGCGACAAGGTTTTTGCGTTCTTCATTTCCAAGTCCAAATGCTCGTTGCCTGAACAACAACAAACAATCTTCATCGGATAAAACTAACAAGCGATGAGGTGAAATAGTTCCCATGATTGATGCGACCTTATCAACACGAGTAGTGACGATAACGGAAGCACCTTTTGATCCACATGCTAGTGAACACTTGAACGCATCCCACTTGTCTGGATCTTCGTCCCACACATCATCTAATACAATCAGGTATCTTTTCCCATTCAGCATGCCGCGAAGCTTTCTCTGCAGTGAGTCTAGGTCAGCTGCCTCACAAGCTTTTTCATTTGCAGATTCTATTGTTGCTTTGATCAGCCTTTTCACATCAAAATCTTGAGAAACATAAACCCAAATTTTAGGATCGAAGAGGGGTTTGACCCTCTCATCATTGAAGGCCATTTGCGCGAGCGTTGTCTTTCCGAGACCGCCTAAACCAAGTATAGGATACACAGAAACATCCTCAATATCACATACATCCTCGACCAGAAATTTGATAATCTTTTCTTTATCTTCATCTCTTCCGTAGAGTTGTGGTTCAATGATAACAGAGCTGGTTTCACGGCTTACATCATATTCAACTCGTGTCACTGCCACAACTCCCTCGGTCAAGTGAAATTTGCGATTAGCAGCAATTGCATCCAACTTCTGTGTAATCTCTTTTATTCTGTTCCCTATTTTGTGACGAAACAGAACATTCTGAACAGGATAACAAGTTAACAAAGAAGTGCTTACCTTCTTGAGAGAACCATAACCTTGGCCTTTCAATTCACATTGGAGGGCTTCGGTTGCGCACTCATCCAAGATGTCATCTGCCTCGTAGGCTGCATCATTGAGCTCTTTCAACCAAGTCTGTATAGCTTTGTTTTGCAGTTGCGTTTGCTCTGCATCTTCAAGGACAGCCTGGATGGTGGAGAGAGTGCTTGAAAGCTTTGTCATCTCCGGGTTTACTCCACAGAGCAATCCCACCTCATTTTGGATCAAGGAGTTGAGATTTTTAAGCACAAACGGAAGAAATGGAACAGCCATGGTCACTTGCTTTCTGGATTCAAGGTGTTAGGCTCAAAAATGAAATTGCAAATGCTTTGACAAATGTTTATGTTTCCAACATTGCTTTGTTAATTGTAAGGACATGTGCATCCCACTGGTTTCATGGTAAGACTGTCCTACTCCTGCAGCAGTTCATTTTCGCTTGTCTAGCGAAGAAATAAACAATCTTTTATTTCTTTGAGGGGAATCTTGATATAAAAATCGTTGAATTTACACGCATATCAAAATTGAATTAACCAATAACATTTTCAATTCAAAATGGGTGCAATTTACTGCATTTGCTACCTAGCTCCCGAGTAGAACCAGTGCTACTGTTAAGTTAATTATATTGGATTGTTTGGGCACAAGCAAGCGTCCAAAATTGCTTTGGTTCTTTGGGCATGTGGTGTCTTTTACCGAGACAGTTGGGCCTTACTTTTTCAACATGATCGACTCCTTTTTAAGGAAAAAAAATGATTTATAAATAGTATTTTTATGCATAAAATTTATCCAAAATAAACTGGCATTCATATTTTTTGTAATTATAAATCATAATAGCCGGTGTGTTTGTCTCAAGAAAAAGAAGTTTTTTTGCAATAGGGTGATTTCATAATGGTACAAAATATCTCTATTATGAAGAGGCATTTTGAGTTGGAGCTCAAAGGGATAAATTCGTAAAATTGATTGTAAGTTAGATCATAGCGAACAATAGTCTGGAAATGGAGAACTCTCTTTGTTAATTTTGTGCACCCTATATTTGTCATTTTGGCAATCAGTGAGTATATTAATAGATGAGTCAATGTTTCAACATTGCTTTGTTACTTTAGCATGAAAACTGCATCCCATTGGTTTCATGTGCACTACCCTAGCATCTTGGCAGTATCAGTGATTATATTAATAGATGAGTCCATGTTTCAACATTGCTTTGTTAATTTAGCATGAAAACTGCATCCCATTGGTTTCATGTGCACTACCCTAGCATCTTGGCAGTGTCAGTGATTATATTAATAGATGAGTCCATGTTTCAACTGTTAAAGAAAAATAAATGATTTCTCATAAATAAATTAATTAATAAAAATAAAAATTAATACAAAAAATCAATAATGACATAGGAATTTTTACATTAATTTCTCAATGTAAGATACGTCCACAGAATTAAAATCCCATTCCACTATCAACTAAGAGTTTCAATTATAAACGGGACACGAATGGTCTCACAAATCACCCTTAAGTAAATTTCAAATAATCACAAATAAATAGAGGAAAGGACCTCACCAAAGTAGATAAACCAATTGTCTTCAAAACAAAGTGTAGAATACCCAAAATAATAGACCCAAATCAATCTCCACAACAAAACCTTCGAAGTTGCACTGAAAATTCGCACTAAACAAATAAGATTGAACCAAGTTCATTTCTACCGGCCAAAATGCACTCACAGTACTTGACAAATTAAACCAGGTATTGTTTGGCAAGTGAATTTGTGGCTAAAATAGCTACAAAAGATAAAATAGGCTATTTTAGTCATAACAAACAAAACATCACATCCAACCCATAATCATTACACTCTTCTCTCACAAAAAAAGTCAAAAAAGCCAAAAAGCCCTTCCCAAATCAAGCTTTTTAGCCTAAACTAAAATAGCCAAAAAGTCAACTCACTTCCCAAACGGAGGCTGAATTGGTCCTTCTCACAAGCACACATCCACCGAAATATATCCATCGGCCGCTGCACACTTTTTGGGAAAAACAAAGACAATATCAAAAAATAATATTGATTTTTGGACTTTTTATCAAAGTCTTAATTGTTACTAAACAGATTATTAAATATCTATTGGGCCTTTAAAAAGTTAGATATAATATAATAAAAAACAACAATGATTCATCCCACTAAAAACATCATCATTAATAGCACTAATGCATTAAAAAAGTAAAGAAAAAAAAAAATTACAACTCCAAGACCAAAACATCACATCATTAATAGCGGGACCCACTGCCACCTAATTAGTGGGAGCACTAATTAGTGCTCCCAAGCATTTTTCATTAAAAAATATTATAATTAACATCAAACAAAATTAAATATTTTTAATAAACCAATTGAGTCGTATACTCCATTAAGCAGATATACCCAACAATTCTCCCCTTACCGACTTAGGTAGAACTATCAACCATATTCGCCAAAGTTCGACACTTCAAATGTTTGTCCCTCGACAAAGTCTTAGTCAACATATCCGAAATATTATCATTTGTTTGAACTTTTTCGAGTTGTAACAATTTTGAATCTAACACATCACGAAGCCAATGGTATCTTACATCAATTAATTTCGATCTCGAATGAAAAGTAGATTTTTTTACTCAAATGAATAGCACTTTGACTATCACAATAAAACACATACCTTTCTTGCTTCAAACCCAATTCTTGCAAAAATTTCTTCAACCATAACTCTTTCTTGCAAGCTTCTGTAATGGTAATAAATTCAACTTCTGTAGTTGAAAGAGCAACACATTTTTGCAATTTAGACTGTCATGCGACAGCTCCCTACAAAAGTCATCAAATATTCCGAAGTAGATTTTCTAGAGTCAACATCACCGGGCATGTAGGGATCTGTGAACCCATCAAGCATCGGCTTACCATTCCCAAAATACAAACACACCTTCAAAGTCCCTCGAAAATACCTTAGAATCTATTTCACCACTGCCCAATGTTCTTTACTGGGATTAGAGAGAAAACGACTCACTACACCAACGATGTGAGCAATATTTGACCTTGTACAAACCGTGGTATACATCAAAGAACCAACCGCTGAAGCATAAGGAATTTTCAACATCTCTTCCTCATCTTTTTCACTTGTAGGACATTGATTTGAACTAAGTTTAAAATGACCCGCAAGTAGACAACCAACTGGCTTTACTTTATTCATGCTAAACCTCTCAAGAACCTTCTCAATGTAGCTTTCTTGGGACAACCAAATCAGTCCCTTCTTTCGATCACGAACAATCTTCATACAAAATATTTGTTTTACCGGCCCCAAATCTTTCATCACTACAACAAAAAAGGGTTTTTACAGCACCAAATACACGTTGTGGAAACGATTTTACGACGCGCAAGGTAAAGCCATATTATGACCAATCATGGAAAGTCATTCACTTTCAACGGCATGCCATAGCATGCCGTTAAAACTTTTAACAGCGCATCTTACATGTCATGTTTAATTTTTCTACAACAACTTTTAAACGCCGTTAATTCAAAAGACAAACCATGGCACTCATTGCTAGTCATTAAATATTTAATACAACGACCTATTTTGCCCGTCGTAGATTATGTTTTTTTTTTTTCAACACGTTCTATTCTACCTGTTCTGTACAATCTAAAAAAATTACAAACAAGTTTTATAAATATATATATATATATATAAGTATCAATCAACCACCAAATATTATTTCAAGTATCAAAAAAACTATTTATAAGTTTCGAACATCCAAAAATTGTCTGTATATTACAAACCATCCAAAAACTATGTTTCTAAATATCAAAAACTGTCCTCAACTTCAAAATCGTCCAAAAAGCTCCAAATCATCCCCCCCCCCAAAAAAAAAAAAAAAAAAAAAAACTCTTTAAGTTCTAAAGGTACAAAATTTACCCAAATATCTTCTTGCGAGTGCACCATCATGGGTTGATTCAATTGCATAAACACCCAGCTTATGCTACCCATATCTTTATATTAGAAAATTCCTAATATCTTGGATTTCGTCTTCAGAAGCTTCCTTTCTTAGAGCAACCAAGCTTGAAACAACATCAGTAGAAAGAGCATATATTGGATTATAACCATGGATAAAATACTCCCTCCCAATAAAATAAGACAGCAGCTCATACCTGCATGAATTAAACTAATTTTATTACTTCATAATAACAATTATAAAGTTAGCACCTAGCACTAATTTTTGCCTAGGATAGCTCTAATTCCAACTTCTACAAAAAATTTCAAAGGTTGCCTCTTTGCCGCATAGCAAGAAAGACACTTTATATTATTATCTATCAATCTCCTCCTGATTTTATGTAAATGTTTCCAAATTAGTTAACATAATTAAACCAAGAAAAATCATGTTGAAGAGGGAAGCAAAATGAGGCCCAAGACAAGAAAAGGAGGGAGAACAAATCCTAATGTTGAAAGAGACTTGATATTAGTAGCTTCTTTCAACCGTTCACCTTTAGCACTAGAACTCTTCTGCCTGTGATAAAAAAAAAAAAAAGATAATAAATTAGTTAATAAAATTGTAGGTACATGATTCAATCCTGTTATCAAACAAGAGGGCTCCACTATCTAATTATTCAGCATACTTTATTCAATGATGTTACCTTTCAGAGCCTGCTAAATCTACAAGATTAAGTCGAGCGAACAGGTGACGAGTTACCCCTTGGGATTCCCACTAAACATGAACCACCGATTAGAATCCCAACACCCAAATAAAAGCCACTGAAATAACAAAAACAACAAGACTGCTGACCTTACTTTCAATGATGCATGTAAACACACCATGAGAACGGCTACTTGCTAGATTCATATTAGTGGCAACTATGTCCAAATTACCAATTTTAGCTCACCGTTTTCTGAATTCCATTTTCGTTATTTTACCAAAAACAAATGATATGCTGCCAACAAAAGCCAGATTTTGCATCTTTATACTTGTAAAGGTTGGAAACCAATTTTCTTGCTTCCTTCCATTCCTGAGTGAGTAGTTCTAGACATTTGTATACATAAAATTTATTGACTTGCCGAGGTTGAGGATCAAGAATAAACAAGAAAATTAAATGAAGCTAAATGCATAGATGCACAAGCTGTTGAATAACATCCCGAATGCATTAGCTTGGTGAGTATCATACAAGAAAGCCTGCAATAGTTATTCATCTCCACAGTACATGCAATATGAAATCACTTTAACAAATTATGACAGAACATAAATTTAACAACCTTGATTTCAATTAAACTTTCAAATTAAATTCATGGGATAAGAACACAACTAACTGCATTAGAATATGTAACAAGCAACCAAGAAAGTTCAGTTGGAGGTACATTTTACATAAGTCTCACATAAAGTTTGTGCAAACATAATTGGTGAGCATAGAAGAAATTGAAGACATGTATGAGCAAGGTTCTGAAAAGCGGTTGTGGTCGCCGTAACGGCGGTAGTGGAGCAGTTGCGGTTGCGGAGTGTAAAGGCCATAGCGTAACGATTGCGGTAATCAGAACCGTGAATTTTTTTTATTTTTCACACAATTTGAAAAAAACTTACCGATACACATATTTTTTTCCCATAATTATTTTATTGGGTTTTAAAATAAATATTGATCAATTTTTTTAAATTTTTAAGTATGATTCAATATATTTCATATTTTTAAATCGCTATAAGCTGAGTTTTTTACATTTTATTTTAATAATTAATGACTTTATATATCATAAATCCATATTACGGCTTGTGGCAAAAACAAAATTTTTTTATTGGACTTAGATGTATAAATTTACTTTTTTAATTATTATACTTGTGGAAGCATATGCAAAATTTAACTTGATAGTTTAAAAAGAATAAATTATACATAGCATAGAAGAAATTGAAGACATGTATGAGCAAGGTTCTGAAAAGCGGTTGTGATCGCCGTAACGGCGGTAGTGGAGCAGTTGTGGTTGCGGAGTGTAAAGGCCATAGCGTAACAATTACGGTAATCAGAATTGTGAATTTTTTTATTTTTCGTACAATTTGAAAAAAACTTACCGATACACATATATTTTTTTCCATAATTATTTTTACTGGGTTTTAAAATAAATATTGATCAATTTTTGTAAATTTTTAAGTATGATTCAATATATTTCATATTTTTAAATCGCTGTAAGCTGAGTTTTTTACATTTTATTTTAATAATTAATGACTTTATATATCATAAATCCATATTACGGCTTGTGGCAAAATCAAAAAAAATTTATTGGACTTAGATGTATAAATTTATTTTTTTAATTATTATACTTGTGGAAGCATATGCAAAATTTAACTTGATAGTTTAAAAAGAATAAATTATACATGCTAATGTAATCATATAAAAATTAAAAAATAAATTATAAAGAATTTTTTTTTTTTTTGGTTTGGATCACTTGAATATTCATTCTCTTTTTGGATAACCTATAAATAAAAATAAAATAAACTAATCAAAATAAAATTGACTTGTATAAAATATGTATTAATATATAATTATATAGGTGTTATGTTTTCTAGATATTTCACAAAAATAATCAATCACTAACTATTATATATAAGATAAACAATGACAAAAGCAAGAGAATAAATAAGAGCCTAAATATATATATATATATATATTTTAATCAAGCCAAATAGATAATAACCACACTTATTATTATGACTATTATTATTTTCAAACAATATATAGGCAAACACACACAAACAAAATGATTGAGTGATAGCAGCTGAATAGAATAGCATAGGTTTTATAGTTTTAACAAATCAATAACATGTTCTTTATCTTCCCTCTTCTCTCTCTCTCTCTCTCTATCTCTATCTCTTGCTCCTTCATCTTCCCTCTTCATCATCCCTTTTCCCCCATTTCCAATTTTTTTATTTTTTATTTTTTGGGGTTGTTTTGAAAGAAGTAGTTCGAAACCGTTACATAACGGTGCGTAATAGACCGTTACAGCCGTCATAGCACCGTTATAGCCGCTATGGTAGCCGCTACGGCTGACATACTTATGAATCTCAATCACACTGTAAATGCGGCCGTAACGGGTGGCGGTAACTACTACAACCGTTACGTTTTAAAACCTTGAGTATGAGTGAATAAAAATACCTTTAGATTTTTATATATGAATCCCTTAGTGTTTTGTAGGTGGTCAAGAAGTCGGCCAGGGGTTGCTACTAACAGATTTACTCCTTTCACAATATGCTCTGCTTCTTCCCTGCGAGCTGCACCACCAATAACCAAGCCAAGAGTCTGTGAATGATGATTAAGAAGGTCCTTTGCCATTACATGTGTCTGCATCATTTCATTGGAAGATTAGTCCAGGTTGTTACTTAGAAAAAATGACAAACCATTATAACTGAAAGCAACTAATTTGGAAGATGGATATATATAGAAAGTAACAAGACCCCCAAAACAGAAGAAGTGTTATTAGAAAAGATGAAGCGGATTATCTTTCTTTTCTTAACGATTCAAACCAAATGAAATTAAAATCAGTGGAAGGTAAAACACGATTTCCAAAATTAGTAGAAAATGATGAAAAATAATTCTTGAGAAGAGCTTAGAAGATGATCTAACACAGACAATAAGAAGTAACTACCAAAAAATAATATTCTAAATGCGCTCTAAGATTGAGAAAGAGTAGAAATGATGAAGGAAAAATACTTTTATAATCAGTATTAACCTTCTAGATTTATTATCTTTGTAGAAAGAAGGATAAAATAGGGATGGCTTTATTCTATAATGATTTTGTCTTTTCAATTTGCTAGTTTAAAAAGTACAAATATCACAAAAGGAGTTGTAATTGAGAGGATTATAGTGTAGGATTAATAATTGGAATCACACCAAAAGCTATCTTGGGAAAAAGATTGATATTGATAAGTAAAAAAAATAAAAATAAAATAAAAACCATAATATTTACCTGTATGGCAAGTTCCCTAGTTGGGCAGTTGACAATTACCCCCGTTCAGATTTGATGTAACAATTCCACAGCAGGTATCAGAAAAGCAAGGGTCTTTCCAGAACCTGTCCTTACAGCTCCAAGAACATTTTTACCTTCCAAAAGTGGCGAAATAGATCTGGCTTGGATCTACAATTAGAATCAGCAGTTAATTCAGGGATATATGTTATATCTAAGGATATCCACATAAAGTAAATAGTTATGACAATACAAATATAACAATCAGCATATCAAATTTACATACAAAGAATTCATGCTCTCTGTTTATAAAGAGATAGGTAATTCATTCTGTTAAGAGCAAATTATGTTAACTGTAACGCCCTCAAAATAATAACATTAAACCCATCAAATAGGACATGCATTTACATTTAAACTAACCGCATTCCTTTATTCATTCGAATTCCATTACATAAGTATTACATGTTAACATCAAAACAAAATGCCCTACGGGCTTACAGCTTTCACATGAGAACTGGGAATCCATTAATAGGTTGAGACTTAGAAAAAAGCATTTCAAATCTTTTCCTATCACCTCCAGGCATATAATTTGGGCCCAGATATTTTCTAGATTTTCATTATTAATTCTCTAGTTACTACTAGATTGGGGAAAAAGGAAAACAAATATTCATATATTTGTTTTTTCCTTTGAAAACTGTAAGAATGTGAATATCTAATTAGTAAACCATGTTAGTAGTATCTCAAGATCTTCTTTTAGTCTCAAAATACAATGAATATGAGCTATGAGTCCTCTACAACCTACAGAGTACAGCATAAGGGCATTCAACAAGGAATGTCCCAGAACAGCAAATAGGGATCAAAACCAATCACAATGCTTCATTCAGCAACCAAATTTAGTTGCCACTTGACCTTAAGATATGTGACAAATAACCAAATCCAGCATTCCCACCTTGCACAAGAAAACCAACACATTACATGGATTTAATAGATGGGAATCAACAGTATACTGACAATGGCAGTAGTTATCATTATTATGATTATGCAAGAAAATCTTGAAAATTAAGAGAAGTTAAGTCAAGTTTAGTGTTGCAGAAAATGAAAGCATTTGTTTTGGGGTTGCTGTTTCTTTTACTCCAAAAATTGTTGACACGGAGATTTCTACCAATCAAGCCACTCTTTTTTTTTCTTTTTCATTTTCTTTTTCTTTCTCTTTTTTTGTTCTTTTTTTTTTTTTGAACTAGGAAATGCCCTCAAGCTACAAAGGAATGGGCAGTTCGGTTGACAATCAAGCCACCTTGAACTAGAAAATAGGCTAAAAAACACTAGTCCACAAAAACAGGGTTCCAAACACCGTAAAAATGAGGTCAAATAGATGGGAACCCATATCATTGACAGAAATTTATGAAAGGTAACCATTTGTCAAAAAGTCTTGCATAGCATGATATGACAAATTGTAACATTTTATAGAGAAACCACATTTAATTGATATAGATACCTCCGTTCGTACATTGAACAGGTAAATAATTACTATAAAACCGCAGGTGAAAGACATGTTGAATTTATTCTTGGCTGAAAATAGATTACCTGGGACAAAATTCGCTACTTGTTCCTAATTTGAGTCCTTGCCTTGTTCATGACTGAGTTAGGTGACTTGTAGAACCTCTGTATGAAAGAATAAATCAGATTAGAAGGAAACTAATAAAATATAATAAAGAAAAAAATAGATGTGTGGTCTCTGGGTTTTCAAGAAACACAAAAAGCAAATAACAATGGGCTTAGGTTTGTGTAATCTGACATATTTATTTACTTTTAAATATATTTTTTGGGGTTTTCATATTTCAATTGTATAAGCAAATGAGTTTTTCTTCAATCCACGTCAATCAAATTAATTACAGGAGGCAAAAACTACAGGTTTAGCAAATTCAAGGTGAGGAAACTATTGAGAGGTTGAACAACGAAGGGGCAAAGATCTGAGCAGTTGAAAATTATAGTTAGGGTTTGGAATTGGGGAACGAGAGAGAGAGAGAGAGAGAGAGAGAGAGAGAGAGTGTGTGTGTGTGTGTGTGTGTGTGTGTGTGTGTTTACCTGATGCAAGAGGTTTGAAATCGAGAGGATTAGCAATGGTAGAGTATAGGCGATTCCATGCACTGCCACCGAACCTCCTTAATCTCTCCACCGAACCCCACTGCTACTCCAACACTGTTTCTGTTTCATTTCGTGTTAGCCACCTTCTTCATGTTTGCTCTTTGCTTGGGTCAGTTGGCCGCTGACCTCACGATGGGGAAATAGGGCGGCACCACCACGGCGTGAGACATTTTTGGTGGTGGTGGCCTAGGTTTGTGCTTGTATGAATTACGGGTAAGCATGGTCTGGATTGGGTAAAATCAGGACTAATTCCTTATTTACGGTTTTTGAAAAATTGAAACTAATTCAATCCATTTAAATCATGCAACCAATCCATTCAAATACGGATTAGATCGGTTTAGGGTTATGGATTTACATAATTAAATAACAATATATATATATATATAACACTTTAATTTCATAAAAATATAAACATAGCGCTATGTTAGTTCCACAATAGTAACATGTCTTTCTATAATAGC